GATGGCAAATTTAGGGTTTAGGGTTTAGGGTAATATCCTGCAGTAAGGACCCTAAACTGTGGGAGTTATGGTATATTCCTGATTACGGAAAATGCAGGATTTATATCATCAACCGTTCTAGGCATGAATAACAGGTGCCCCGTTTGATTGAAGTCAGGCTTCAGGGTTTAGCGCTTCAGGTCTAGCGCTGAGGGTTTAGGGCTTTGGGTCTCAAGTTCAGCTTTCCTTCGCCTGAGACCAGAATCCAGGTAACAGCCAACAAAACCCTGTAAAGCCTTGTTACGACAAATAAGGCTCCAGAAAGGAACACCGAAAACCCAAAAAAAATCAGTAGAGAGCCCTTGCCATGAACCTTCTAGTACAGTAACCCGTCCATTCCTTTGACTAGTTATGGGACCCCCAGTAAATCCCCAGCAACAACCGATAGCAAACCCAACCTACATAAGGCCCTCTATAACACCCACGGAGACCCGCACCCGAGCTCCAAAAGACTAGACTCTAAAGCCCTAAGAGCCTGAAACCGTCCACCAGAAAGGTGAAAAAGCACTAAGTCCATTACACCAAAAAGGGACCACCCTACAGTACAACCCTCAGAGCGACCCTTCTAGGCAAATTACGGGAAGAGCCTGATGGGAGGCCAAAAGGGGGGTTTAAGATTCTTGGGGTAGGGATTCCTCAATATGAACCCTATTCTGGGAACCCTAATCCCTACTAAACCCCCAAAGGCTAAAACCCCTTTTGGCCTCCTATGAGAGCCCCCTAAACCCTAAACCCTAAACCCCTAAACCCTAAACCCCTTTGATGGAAAGGGCCACTGTCCTGGCGAGTCACGGAGAGGCCGTGCTGACGCATGCAGGTCGTGGAAGGACAGATCTGGCGGAGAGGGGCAAAAAGAAGGGGCCTTAATAGTCAGAGCGGGGGTTCCTTCTAAAGGGCTCTTAAACGAGGTCCTATAAGGGGTAGTATGCGGAGGGCGGGGGCTGGTAACAAAGGAGCCTTAATAATTACTATGTAAGGTTTTGGGGCCCATTATACTGTAATTGTAGTAAGGAACCCTCAAAATAGTACATGAAAGCCCCCTAAGCAACCTCTGGATTTTCATGCTAAGACTTAAGGATTTAGGTTTTGGGGGTTCAGATAGGCTTTGGTGATTAGGGGCTTAGGGCTTAGGATTTAGGCTTTGTTGGTTAAGGGCTTAGGGTTTAGGTTTTGGGGGTTAACGGTTTAGGGTTTCGCTGGGTTCCTGTAAGGTTTGCATATCCATAAGGGCTCTAGTGGGTTACCGCAGGGCTTCCAGGCGGGCTTAGGGGCTTAGGGCTTGGGGCGAGGGGTTTGTGGTGCAGGGCTTTCGTACGCGTTCTAGCTCGGGGTGTTCTGCGGGTTTCTATAGGGTTTTCGAGGTTTTCAGATTCCGATTTTGGATTTCAGGCACATAAACACTGCATACGGGAGTACCCTAAATAGTAGGATCCTTATTATAAGGACCCCAAAATAAGGTACCCCCTAAAATTCTGAAACTCCCATATCTTGCCTTTGCTTGCTGGTTTTGGGACTCGAATCTTCCGGAAATCAAGGCCCCAGTGTGGGTTCGTCTGAACTTATGGTATACCTGGACCCTAAGGAACCTACCTTTTAGGGTGCCTTAATATGATTTCTTTATATAAGTCCTTAAAAGGGTAGGTTATGTGCGGTTAAGGTATGCATTAAACTGCATCAAAGGCTTTAGTGAGGTTTACGGCATACTCCTTAGTCGACGGCTTTTGGCCTAGCTGGGCTGGGGAGCCGGGGCATCAGATTTAGGAAATAGTCAACCCCTGAACTCTAGACTAGCTTCCCACAGCTCTGCACCCTTGAAACCCTGCTTTAGGATTTTATGAGAGTCTCAGCTTCTGGAAATTATTATACGGCACCTAATATTTAGGGTACCCCAAAAGGAACCAGAATTGTGACAATTACCCATATGATTCGGGGTGCAGAGAACAAGGGCTTGAGGTTGAGAGCGTAAGGATTTAAGCTTGCAAGTGTATTTCGCAGAGTCTTTTTCTCGACGGGCCATGCGCAAACCCATCGCTCCGGCGATAGTCGCCGAGGCAGCGCATGGTCTCCGTGTCGTCGATCGTGAGATCAACAAGTGCCTCTGGGCTGTGGGTGTAAAGGCTTCAAGGTTGCTTGAGGGTGCTGCACCGAAGGCCCAAAAAGCATCGTTATTGACATTGCGTGCAGCATTGTTATCCTTCGCTATGTACACCGTTAAGTGCCGCTAAGTGCTGACATCTATTGTCAAGTCCAAGACAAGCAGTCATGATTGCAGCAGCCACTGGCTATTTGATACACCCTCTGGGCAGGCTTTGGGGTTTTAGATATGGGAGTTTCAGAAAGTAGGGGGCCCTAATACAGTACCCTAAATAGTAGGATCCTTCTTATAAGGACCCCCCTCCAAATAGGGTACCCCCCAATTTTCGGAAACTCCCAGAAAAGCCCGACGGTCTGAGCCTCAACATCCTGAACCTCCTAAATACACCCTAAAGGGAACTCCAGAAAGTTGGAATATGGTTTCAGGGTAGGATTCCCTATAATTTACCTTGAAGGGGTTACGATAATCATATTCCAACTTTCTGGAATCTACTGTATCAGCACCTACTTGTAGCAACTACTGGCACCCTTTCATGAAACCCCAAACATACTAAACCCTAAACCCTAAACCCTAAACCCCAAGGCCCATCCCTCCCGCCCAAACTGCCTGACCGGTGCCCTGCACACAGAAATTCCTCGGCTGATGGAGCTGTCGGTTTAGGGTTTAGGGGTTTAGGGGTTTAGGGGTTTAGGGTTTAGGGTTTAGGGTTTAGGGTTTAGGGCTTTGGGTTTAGGGTTTTGGTTTCGAGTTTAGGGTTCAGGGTTTCAGGGCTTCGGGCTTTCTAGGTTTGGGAATGGGTTCAGCTCAACGTTTCAGCGTTGCCGGGTTTGGGGTTTAAGCGTTGCCGTGTTGAAGTCATGTTTGATGGTTCAAAAATTCCGCAATCCGAGTGTAGTGTCGGGGATTGAGGGAATCGGGCTTACGAACTGTACACCTGCAGCGAATTATCCCACTTTGCAGTCTTACAACGCCAGGATCTGTAAACTAATTGACTAACATCCACTGGAAGTCAGGGTTGCGGTTATAGCCGACAGCTGCTGAACTTTGAACCGAGTCGAACACCCTAATTGCAATCCCGACTGCCTGTATTAGGCTTGAATGAACCCCAAACTCAACATCCCCATGCCTGAAAACCCATGCTCTCTCATTAACAAGCCCGACAGGCCCCCGCAAATGATAAACAACACTGGGTAGTTGTCAAAATTAGGGTCCCTTCTTGGGTTCCCTAAATATTAGGTGCCGTATTGTATTAGGGGCCCAAAAGAGGGACCATAATTTTGACAACCACCCACTATAAAGTCTTGATTAAAAAGCCCCCATGGATCCGCTGAAGACCCGCCTAAAACCTGTGAGTAAACAGCCCAGAAGCCTAGAACCCTAAGTTAGGGCCCCAAAAGAGCACATAAGCAAAAGTTAGGATAGGGATATCCCATATTCACCCCCTTAAAAGGAAGCTCGATAAGGTAGGGATGTCCCGGTAAAATGCTTATGCTTATGTGCTTGTTGTGTCCCTAATAAGTGCAGCCGGCCGCTGGATTGCATGACGTTTTCGGAGCCACGCAGGGAGAGGCAGCCACCAAGGCAACCAGCGGACCCTGAGATTCAAGCTTCATTCTTCTCAGCCCCTGTGACGCAACATGAAACTGGTTGTAACAACCTCATGGATTTGCGATAGCAATGACCCTGGCTCCCAAGGAGAGCCAACATTTACGGATATAAGGGGTCAGCATATTGACTACGGGCCCTATAGCGTCCTTTATGGTTAGAATCCCATTATACTGTAATTATAGTAAGGAACTCCCAAAATAGAATAGGTAACTACTTAGGCCTCAAAGCTAGCAGTTGGCTCGTAGCTCCTGCGAGCCACCAGGCTGACGATGGCGATCGTGGTGGTGACGATGAAAATGGAGAAGAAGAAGGAAGAAGAAGGATTGGGTTACGGTTCAGGGGCTTAGGGTTCGGGATGGGTTTGGGGTTTGGGGGGGTATGTTATGATGATGAAGATGATGCTCTGCAGCAGCAGGGGACAGGGGCAGAGGCAGCAGCAGCCGCAAAGTCACAATCAGAATCATTAAGATCATCATCCAAAGCCCCCATACAGCCTAAAACATTGTACCCCCATCGGTACCCGGAAGCGGAACCCTTAGAGGAACCCTGAATGGAGCCCCTTCCTTCAAAACAGGTTGCAGCCAGTACCAGCCGTCGCAGAGCCCTGCACCGAGCAGCACCAGGATGCCTTTCACGAGCATTCGGCGAGGAAGGCGGGCGGGCGAATCCGGTTTTTCAGTCTCGGTCAGTTAGGGTTTAGGGGAGGAGGGCGGCTGAATCTGGGGGCAGTCCAAGACAAAAGGCGCCTCTCTCTGGATGTCTTTGTCCTCAAGGAACCGACTAGGTTTTGATCGTTTGATGAATGCTACTGCGTGGTCTCTTATCTTACGAAGCTGAAGTCGTCGTTGATGCGGGGTCTCGGCTTTAGTGAAGAGCCTGGGTTTAGGGGCTTAGGCTTTAGGGGCCCTTCAGCCCAAAGCCCCGGGTGAATGTGGTGACTGTTGGGCTTCAGAGGTGTGCCGGCAGACGGCATCCGGGTTTAGGGTTCAGGATTGAGGGATTAGGATTTAGGGGTTAGTGCGTGAAGCAGAGTCTCTGAGTACAGGCAGTGCGTTTAACCCGAAGGCTGTTTTTCTCGAACGAAAAAAGATTGACTGCGAGTGTAGGGCTCCCTTCGATAGCAGTGGTCTATTCTTAGGGTTACTCGCAACCTGTGGTGGGTATTGATTTATTTCACGTAGGTTATCAGCCGTAGTTTGCTACGATAGAGTTGTGGGTTTAAGGTAGTGGACCACGAGGTTTCAGAAGTCGTTAAGCCATGGACACCGTTCCCAGAAGGAGGCGATCGGCAGGTTCTAGCGAGCCTGAAACTTCCGGTGTGAATCAAGAACAGCTATATCAGACAGCCTTGGGCCAAGCCAATCAGGAGATGACTCCCTCGGGGATCATGCTAAGTGGAGAAGCTTCCCCCGGGATGATGGAGTCAGGTGGTATACCTAGCTCTGTAGCGGCGGTGCCTCTTCCGGAGGCCCATCCTTTCTACAGTTCAAGGGCCAAGGCCGAGGTACAGTTGGCCCGATCAAGGCCTAGTACTTTGGATGATGATGGTAGAAGATTACAATCGGAAGTCAATGAAACTGCGTTAGGAGATCCTGGGTTTTCCTCGGGGCAAGAGCCGAACTATGGTTCCTTGGAAGAGTTTCAGGGAGCTGCGGAAGTTCCAAGAGTTGCTCGTGTTGAGTCTGGGGTAGAAAGGCCTGTGGATGAGTATGTAGAGCGCAAAGAGGCAGCGATTGGTGGTGGAACATCAGTGCAAGGTACTCAAGGTGAGGAAGGAGCTGCTCCGCCTGGAATAGTGCAGGGACGAGTGGCTCAGCTACCGGCGGTTGGGACCCCGTTTGGGGAGGATTCGAGAGAACTTATTCCTGCTGAGGCAAGCAGAGTGGAGCGACTTGAATCCCTCTTGCTGGAGGTCGTGGAAGAAAATAAGTCTTTGAAGCGGCGCCTGCAGACGGAGTCCAATTCGAGCTGGGAGACGGGAGTAACGCGTCAGGCTCATGGTGAGCATGGATTCCCGGCCTCTCCGGCCTCCTTCGGCCAAGGACAGCAATTCCTCCTTGAGGCTTTTCCTCAGCAGTTTCTGAGTGGGCTTAGGCCTGTACAGGGTAGTCCTTCTGGAGCCGGATGGCTTCCTGCGTTTTTGGGTTCCAATGCAGAAGGGTCCGTGGATGTTGGGGTTAGGGCTACGGGAACGTCTTCGCGGCCTTTGCACTTAGGGCAGTGTTAGACCTCAACTTGATCAAGAATTGGGGGTAGTTGCTATGGGATTAGGGTCAGGGACTGGAAAGGGTGTAGGTGTGTTACCAGGTGTAGGAAAGAATCCGGGGGCGGGGTTAGGTGAGTTGGCTGCTCAGGGCCCTCCCGAACCTCCTAGAAGAACGGATCCTGGGCCTTGTAGCATTGAGGATGTTATGCCTACTCAGTCCTTGCGGCAATTTACTAGTGAAGTTTTGGGGACACGGGATGTCAATGTTGGTTTTCATACCCCTCGGTCAATGGGTGCAGGGCAACCAGGGTTTGATGATCAAGGGTATCCGGTTTCTCCGGGCGGAACGGTGATCCGTCCGCCTCCTGGGCCTCCACCGGCCTCTCCAAGATTCTCTGCGATTGCGTCGGCAGGACTGCCTGGGACAGGGTACGGTGGGCTGGGCTATGGGCCTCAGGGTCTTGACGGAGTTTCGGGGCCTATGGTTGCGGGACCTAGTGTAGGAGCCAGCTGCCCTGCTTACGGCGTCGGTTACCCGAGTAGTGTTTTTCCGGGCCCTTGTGGGCTACATCCGCAGTTCAGCGGTTCTGGGGGAGAGAGCAACCGACCAGAAGAACCGGCCAAGTACATTAGTGAGTTGCCTAAGCTGGTTCAGGCAGATTCATCGTCTAGCGCGGTGGTCTGCGGGAATTGGTTGGCCCAGGTCAAGCAGATCTTTCAGGGGCTCTCTCCTTCGGCAGACATCTGGTTTTCAGCAGTGGAATCGGCTGCGCACCAGGGTTACTCACGGTGGTTAGTTGCTGATCCGCTGGGTAGGTTGAGCTTAGATCCGAGTTCGGTGGTAGCGACTTTTGACAATCATCGGTTTCAGAGGGTGGAATCGAGGGCGGTCACTTTGCTGTTGGCTTCCGTGACTAATCAGGTGCGTGACGACATTATAACCAACAGATGGCTTACGACAGCCGCGATTTTATATCGCATTCTCTGCGTTTATCAGCCTGGAGGGAGCAGTGAAAGAGCCCAGTTGTTGAGCCAGTTGGTTACTCCTGAGCACTGTAAGGGGTTCCAGGATGCCATAAGGGTTTTTAGGAGGTGGCAACAGTCGCTCCAGAGAGCCACGGAAATAAAGGCGACTCTTCCCGATCCGTCACTGCTCTTGAAAGGGGTGGATAGTGCGACGTCGTCCCTTTTGGCAAACAGTCCTATGGTGGCGTTCCGGGTGAACTCTTATAGACATAGTATCGCGTTGGATTATAACCCGACTACTGTGGGTGTGACTCAACTTGTTCGTCTTCTGCAGGCCGAAAGTGAGGCGGCCTCTCTGGTTGAGATGTCCGCTGACAAAAGGGCTAGGAATGCCGCTCTGGGAGCAAAGGATCCCCCTCCGACCAAACCTCCGGGAGCCCCTCCGGCAGCACCGGTTGGTGCAACGAGTCCGGCTGCGAGTGCAGCCGTGAATGCCGTTGGGGTTGAGGGTAAAGGTAAAGGTAAGGGTAAGGCTGGGGATGGAACGGCGCCGATGTGTCATAAGTTTGCTGACGCTTCAGGGTGCCGGTTCGGCGATTCGTGTATGTTTAAGCACGATAGAGCTAAGGCGCGCCGGGAAAATAGGTGCTTGTCATGTGGGCAAGCTGGACATTTCCGCCCCGAATGCCCTTTGGTTCCAGCAGAGCATAGGGTAGTTCAGTCAGAAGGTGTTCAGGACGGGTCTCCGGGCGCTAAGGCAGGTACTCCTAAGTCGTGGCCTAAGGGTAAGGCTAAGGCTAAGTCTGGGGCCCAATCGGGTACTCAGGCGAAGGGCGTGACTGAGGAGTCAGGTCCTGGGTCTGAGAGTGTCAGCAATACAGCTGGTGCAGCGGTTGCTAGTGCAAGCTCGGGTACCGGGGTTAGTCAGGAGGCTTTGTTGGCGGAGGCGGCGAAGCTGTTGAAGGGGGTATCGCTTAAGCCCATTAGGATTGACAACCCCGAGCTTGACTTGACATGGCTCCGCAGTGCGCTTACGAGTGCCTCTGACCCCTCTTTTTGTTTGGTAGACAGTGGTGCGACAAACGCGTTAAGACCCGCTTGCGATCAGGAGTTACAGGGCTGCAGGGTCATACATGTTGATCTGGCGAGCGGAGGGACAGACCTAAGGGTCAATGAATGCGGGACCTTGCTCCATGCCGGACAATGCCAGGTTATTTTACCAGCCAACTACCTTATTGAGCTAGGCTTCTCTATCTCTTGGAAGAAAAAGGGGTGTAAGATTAGGAGGCCTAAGACTGGGGTGTTGGATGTACAGGTAGTAAAGGGTTGTCCTCTGATTCCTCGGGATGTTGGTTTGCGGCTTCTCCAGGAATATGAGGAGCGGGTGACCCAGGGTCGAGGGATGCGTAAGCTGGGTTTTGAGGACGTGCCTTCAGGGTTGACTAAGGAATCTGTGCGAGGTTGGTTAAGGGATCAGCTTAGCGGTGGCTTGGCAGGTTCTTTGACGGATACCATCCAGGTAGCCTTTCTGCGGGTATTTCTTCCTCACTTGCCTTTGGAACTATTGGCAAGGGCGTGTGTGTCTATCGAGCCTAGTTGTTTGACTGACCAGTTACCAACACTATGGAATAGACGCCTTCGTAGGTCCATTGAAAGGGGAGCGCCGGAATCCGTGCTTCTTTGTTGTTCGCCTCGGCAGGAAGGGTTACGAAGCTTTGGAAGGGTTTTACGGGTTCCTAGCTCTGAGAGAGGTTTAGGGAGCAAAGAGGCGTTCAGCCAGCTGTTGGTATGGGCGGCTTCTGGTGTGTTCGGAGGGCTGGTAGCCGGTCCTGATCTTTCTAGTTTTCGGGGATCCACAAACGAAGAGTGGACGGAGTTTCTGGTGTGGAACTTGCGTTTCTTGTTACTCGTTGGGGTCGCGCAGGCTGCGAAGGACCTTAAAGTAACTTCCGAGGGTATGAATAGTGATTGTGGGTTAGATGAGGTTCCTAGCGATATTAGGGATCCTCGGGAGCTTGTAGAATGGGCCTTGGCCCGCGCGGCAGCGAAGCTGGGACAGCAGAGACCAGAACCGGGTCGTACGGCTGTGGCACTGGCGGAGCCGGTCTTTGTAGCTTGGGAGCAGCCGGTGTCTGGGTCTTTGCCTCAAGAAGGGACTGGATTGCCTTCGGTTGATTTTCATGTTGGGGACCTACCAGCGGTGTATGGTTGGAATCGGGTAGTTTGCGATTTTCGGTTGTATGGGTCCGCCGGAGGAGTAACCCAATTGTGGACATCTTCTTGGTTTCTCTACGAAGGGTTGGGAGGTGATTCGCAGTCCGGGCCTTTGGAAGTCTGCGTCGAAGATGGTAGGGGCTGTCCACCAGTTCGGACCTTTAAAGGGTGGCCCATTCGGTTTGCGCGGATTGTTCAAAGGGCTTGGGATAGATGGAAGGATGAGCTGGCTAGACTAGGTTAGATGAGGTTGCCGAGCGGAGGGTGTTGCTACGTAAACTTACGGAGTCCGAGAGGTACGCACTTCACGTGGCAAGGGATCATTCTACGTACCTTAAGGGGTGCCCGGTGTGTATTCAGGCGCAGGGTCGAAGGCGGTCCCATTGGCGGTCGTCTTTTCCTTCTGTACATTCGGCATCATTTGATCTAGCGGGCCCTTTTATTGCGGGTCAGTCGTTCGATCCTGTAGCTTCGGGTAGAGATAAAGGGGGTGGTTACCGTTACTTCTTAACGTGTTCGTATGCGGTTCCTACAGGGTATGTGCCGTTGGAAGTGGAAGCGCCTGATACCAAGTCGGGGGGCGCACAACAGCTGGAAGTAGATGCCGGTCTTGGGGAACCCGAGCTGTTTCCAGAGTTGTTTGGGTCTTCGGATGACGTGGTGTTGAGTGCGGTGTCCCATAGGGTCCGGGGGAAGAAGCCTGAGGTTGAGGTTGAGGGTGGTGTAGGTCCCATTGATTGTGGGGACGGGTTCTCCATGGCCGCTGGCAAGAATCTCACCCTTTTCCTCGGAGTTCCTTTAAGGACAAAAGGGGGCCGTGAGGTCCTAGGTCAGATCCAGGCACTTATCAATAAGTTGGAGGCGTTTGGACTGCCAGTGCAGAGGTTTCACGCTGATAGGGCTCAGGAGCTTAGATCGAAGGCTCTTGTCCTTTGGCTTCGGGATAAGGGGATTCACACCTCTTGGACGCCAGGGGAGGCGCCAGCGGGCAATCATGCGGAGTTAGCGGTTCAGAATCTAAAGGGTGGGGTGCGTCGGTTGCTCCTTACTGCTGGGCTTCCTAAAACGTTTTGGCCGCTGGCTCTCTTGCATGCGTCGACTCGGAACTGGCATGTTTTTGCGGAAGCACTTGGTGTGCTTCAGCCCGTTATGCTCCCATTTGGTGCACCTGTTGAAGCTCGTAAGCGAACCCAAACTGGTTACGCGGCCCAGTGGCAAGCTAGGACTGTTAGGGGCACTTATGTGGGTCATGCTCCTAATACGCCAGGGGGCCATTTGGTTCTAGTGGACGATGAAGGTGTGAAGAAAGTTCTGTTGACTAGTACCGTGTTCCCCTTAGCGAAGGGTTGTGCCGGGCCGCCGAAGCCGCGATTTCGTCTGAAGGGGAAGCGCTCCTCTTTTGCGACTAGGGTCGTAGCTGCGTCCCCTTTGGGGCCTCTGTCATTGCTCAGGTGTGATGCCAGGTTTGCACCTGGGGGGGAGTCCTTCCTAGATTCGGATTTCTGGTTTGAGCCTGAGGAAGACCCCATAGACCCCACGGGCTCCGATTTTGAAGATAGGAGTGTGGTAAGGGTTTCTTGTTTTGAGGGTTCGGATGAGGAATCCGGGGGAGAAGGGTCTTTTCCTGGGTGCGACGGTGTGATCATGAGTGGGATAGAGGCCAAGGCAGGTCGGTTTGAGGATTGGGTTCAGACCTTGTTGGTGGATGGGGAGTTCACCGATGTGGAGTGTTTGGAGGTCCTTCGTAAGGTGGCTGAAGTGCTTCCTGTAACTCGTAGACCAGTAGCTGCGGAGGGAAGTCGGGCAGGCCTATTGGGTCTGTATGCCGTGGGAGGCTTCCAAGGAGTATCGAATTTGGCCAGGCAGCTTCCTTTGGTCACGAGGTATTTGAATCGCTTTATGGAGTATCAGGGGTTAGGGTGTGCTTGGACAACGGTGTATGTGTCCCACAATAGCTATATGTCGTTGCATCGTGACCTTAGGAATGCGCCGGAGTTTCCTATTTTTGTTAAGGCCATAGGGGAGTTTAAGGGAGGAGGTCTATGGTTAGAGGATGTGGATGGTGCGTCGTGTCGAACACTGCCCAATGGTTTGAAGATTGCGGGCACCGTGCATGACTTGCGCAAAGGGCCAGTAGTGTTCTCGGGTCAACGGTGGCATGCTTCGGAAGACTGGCAAGGGGATCGTTGGATCCTTTCAGCTTTTGTTCCTCGAGAGTACCGGAGCGCCATTGTAGATTGCGGCGAGGAGCTACGAGGGCTAGGCTTTCCCCTTGATAGGCTAGTGGAGCCCGAACCTACTGCTTCCCTGCGGAAAGAAGTCGTTCCAGTAGAGGTAGGTAACGATGAGATAGTGATTGAAGCTTGGGACGTAGATGTACCGAGTCCGGTGTTGGGTGAAGATGAGTATCTTGACTGGGTTGGTTGTCATGGACAGGTTGCACGCCTGTGTAAGGTTCTAGCTGATGAGCTTTGTGACGTTCAAGGGGACCCTGAAAGTTTTAGTTCTTTGGCAGAGCAGCTGTGGTGTGCTGAGTCTCAGAGGGACTGGTTAGAGCAGGTACTTTGTAGCTGCAGGCTGGATGAAGATCTGTTAGGGTCGATCCGAGCTTTGAATGTAGAAGTACCCTTAGCGGAATCTTCCGAGCACGGTAATGATCAGTTTCTCCAGACTCGGAATGTGAGCCTGCTAGAAGCCAGGAAGGAGCTAGGTAAATGGAGGGACCCTGCGAAGGATGAAGTAGTCAGCTTGGAAGACACCAATCGGGCTGTTGATAGGGTTACGGTTGCTGATGTTGATCGGTGGATTAAAGAAGGGATATCGGTAGTACAGTTGCCGGGTAAAGCGGTACTAACCAGGAAGGCAGGTACAGGGAAGCGAAGATGCCGGGCCGTGTGTTGCGGAAATTACTTGCCTACGGAGAAGTTGGGATTGACTCGAGAGGAACTGTATGCATCTGGTGCCGAGTCCTTGTCGGTAAAGGTGGCGGTAGTGTTCGCAGCCATGCATCCGAGTTGGATTGGAGTGACGATAGATGTTAAGTCTGCGTTCTTGTATGCGCCGATCCGAACTGAGAATCAAGGGTTGGAAGAAAGGATAATTGTACGCCCGCCACACTTCCTTGTGGAATTGGGGATTCTGACCTCGGAGCATCGTTGGTGGATTAGGAAAGCCCTGTATGGGCTGCCGACTTCTCCGCGTGACTGGGGTAGGTATCGTGATGGTGAGTTTCGAAAACTTCGGATTCCCCACGCTGGGGGAGAATACCATCTTGTCCAGCTTAAGTCGGACGATGCGCTTTGGGTGCTGCGACGGAACACTGAAGATGGACTTGGGGATGTAGCCGGTATCCTGGCGGTCTATGTTGATGATCTAGCATTGTTTGCGGAGCAGGGGCTGGCTCAGTCGTTCATTCAAGTGGTGCAGACGCTCTGGAAGACGTCCGACCCGGAGTGGATCGGAGAATCCGCAGTGACCTTCTGTGGGATGGAAGTTTCTCGATCTCCTACGGGATACAAGTTGTCGCAGGTGGCTTACATCCGAGAACTGTTACAGCGCTACAATGTCACGGAGGATGCGGCGGTGCCCATTACGAAATGGACTGATCCAGAGTTACCAGAGTCGGTGACACCGGAGGAAGTTAAAGAGGCGCAGGCCATAACAGGCGCTCTGTTGTGGGTTTCGACGCGTACGCGCCCGGATATATCGTATGCTGTGTCACGTTGCGGCCAAATGGCCACGAAGGTTCCGCAGCTGTCGATTAGTGTCGGTATGCAGACGCTTAAGTACTTGAGGTCTACAGCGGAGTTTGCAATGGAAGTTCCGTTTGAAGTAGGAAGCCCGTTTGCCGACCACGGTTTGTTGTCGATACCAAGGTCTCCTAAAGTGTTGGAAGTGTACACCGACGCCTCGCATAGCCCTGGTGGGGATAGATCGATGCAGTCCTTAGTGATTGTGTGGCAAGGGGTACCCATTGCTTGGGAAACGACGAGGCAAGCTTTCACAACTCTGTCTAGTGCAGAGGCAGAGTTGGTGTGCATGATACACGGGACCCAGTTATCTGAATGCATCCAATCGTTGTTGGACGAACTGTTAGAGGAGGACAGTCTCGTTTCACTTCTCTGCGACAATCAAGCCGCTTTACGGTCCTTCGACACCGTGAGCACGGGCTGGCGTAGCCGCCACTTAAGAATGAGAGCGATCTCTGGCAGAGAGCGAGTGGAGGCAGGTATCCTACGTGTGTCCCATATCCCAGGAACCCTGCAGGTGGCGGACATAGGAACCAAACCGCTAGGGAGGTCCCGTATCTTACAATTGCTTAGTCTCATCGGGATTGGGGGTGCAAAGACTAGTGATTCGGAGGCTGCTTCCGCTCGAGTGCTAAGTCGCGGTGTGTATGATGAGTTGAGCACTACTACCATCGCATCTGCCAAAGTGCTGGCAGGACTCACTCTGCTTGCACTGATCCCGCGGGCGAAGGGTCAGCCGGACCAGCAAGGACTTCAGGAAGGTTACAATTGGCTACTTTGGACCGTGGCATGGGTTGTGACCGGGGTTTGTGTACTGTGCTCGGGTTGGCTTTGGGTAGGCGAGGGCCGTTGGAGGTTGCTTCAGGGTCTTTTGGAAAGGGTTCGAGGGGTTGAGACTTCTGGGATTCAGGGTGACGGGGAGCCTATTGTAGACGCTGCGGAATCTGATGACTTTACCGATGAAGAGTGGCGTGTGGCCCAGATGAAGCTCGAAGAGTCAGAGAGGCGTTCTGGTTTAACGCTTGTGCAGCGGGCGAGGGTTCGTAAACAGGTTGCGGCAGGAGGTGTGGTCGATGTCCCGAGTTTCTTGCAAAGATTCGGCCCCGAGCCATCGTGGTTCACTGGTGTTGAAGCCAACGATCCATCTGCAGCCTCAGAAGATCCTTTAGAGCCTCCGGCAGCTCCAGTTGCTGCTGCTTCATCTTCTGATGGACCTCTAGAGCCCCTAGTAGCGAACGTCGCTGTTGACTTGTTGCCGGAAGGACCTCCCGAAACCCCAGTAGCCGGGAGTCCTGCGGTTTTGCCAGACGAAAGTCCCCTAGGGGTTCGTGGACTAGAAAGGCCGCGTGTAGGCTTGTGGGACTTAGTGAATCTGTGCACTCGGCATGGAGATTTGCTGGCGGAGTTGCTGGGTATTCGCGAAAGGGCGTGGATACGACTTAGCTGGGCTGCAGTAGCACTACTTCGACATCCAATGCTGGGTCTATTGGTTCAGTTGTTTGATACAGGGATGAACCAAAGTGCCTTTGAGGGTCAAGATTGGGAAGTAGAGCTGAGGGCTGTACCGGGTGAGCAGGGTATCCAGTGGGTCCCGAGGTTTATGCGACCGAGGGTTGAAGAGTCGTCCAGGGATAGGGGTGACTTTGGTCCCTTGGATTCAGAGGTCCAGTTCAGGGGGAGTCCTAGGGGTAGTAGTTCTGGGATTCCAGGCCCGTTGGATTCAGAGGTCCAGTTCAGGGGGAGTCCTTTTGCGCACCAACTTGGGTGTAGTGACGGCGCCATAGAAGCTCCAGATCTTGATGTTCCGGCAGCACATAGTTCTTCCAGCCATGGGATGGGTGTGCCAGCTTTTGAAGAGACAGGGCATTATTATGAAGATTTGTTCCCTACCGAAGGGTACATGGACTCGTGGCCCCTTGTTGGGTCTTGGATTCAGGTGCATTATGTGATGCAGTTGTGCTCGACGGCAGGGGATACGATTCTGTGGTTCCTAGGACTTCATTGTGCGGAGTGGTTTAGGCTGCTTCGTACCTCGGGAGGTGTAAGAGTTGCGGTAGTTGGTGCCGTAGCTGAGGTGTTAAGGCGAGGTCCGAGGGCCCTGGCTTACGAAGGTCACGGGTGGTTCGAGGCGGTTAGTCATTGGATGGTTCATGGTGATCCGGTCGGACAAGACCCGGAGGCTGATGCAGTTGATGCCGGGGATGCGTATCTACAGAATCCGCATGCGATTGAGCCGTTTGCTGAAGAGGTCGATATAGATGATGATCCTGGGTTAGATGACCATCCTCATCGTGATAGGCCTTTTCCCCCGCCTCTTCAGCTAGCCTGCTTTAGGATTACTGTTCCCTGAAGATGATTCATCTAGCAGTGACGCGGTGTCCACGACGGACCCTTCCATGTCGGCTCTTGACGAGGGCTCGGTAGGGAGTGAGGCAACAGATCAGGTGCCTGTGCCTTCTGGTAGATCAGTTTTTGGCACTAGGTACTTCGTAGGGCCTGAGAAGCTGCGCGTAGTCTACGGGGATGATGTTTTGGAAGTCCCTCTTGAGGGATGGACTGAGGAGCAGATAGAGTCTGTCGTTGAGGGTTTGAACGCTGGCATTTGGCAGGGTTTTTCAGAAGCTTTAGGGTCACAGGGAGCCAGTAGTTCCAGTGAGCCTGTTGCTCCCTCAACGGTAGCAGGAACTCCAGCAGGGTGGTTGTGGTTGTTTCGGTTTGTGGTTTGGTGGGCTTTGGTTCAGAGTGTAAGCTCGTCGCCGATTGGGTTTCAGGGGGAGTTAGTGAGCCTTGAGACCCCCAACGACCGTACTTGCCCTTTACATGAGGCCCAAATCTATGGTGACGCCTGGGATGTGAGGGTTCCGTTGGAGACGTTGTGTGAGGGATCTTGGATGTGGTTCTTTGCCACGGGATTGTTTTGGATTGGAACCTGGGAGCTTTGGAGGTGCTTCTGTAGCCTCTGTAGGCGTTGTCGTGCTGTCACAAAAGATAGCGCAAGCCAGACTTCCAGTGAGCCTGGAGTGCCTTGGCCGCTCCCTTTAGGAGTTGAACACCGGGACCGCATTCTGTTTTCTCTCTGGAAGGCTGGCTACGCAGTCGATATTGAATTGTATGATCAGGAAACCCAGGATGGATTCTGTTGGCTTTTAGGCGATCACCTTGCAAGGCTAGAGAGAGCTAGTGAGGGTTCTGGATCCGACTGAGTTTCTTGGCATGCTCGACAACCTTGGAGCATCGCTGTCGATTAGTTCGAGGTGAATAAGTCTTGCAATGAGCGCGGGAAGTCCGACATCCCCACCGAAGCTGATAGTTCGGGCTTTTACAAGGCTCTTTACCTTTAAAAGGGTTGAACCTAATGGGGATGCTGTGGATTACTCGTGTCTCTAGATAGTGCGGTGGCGAAGCCCACCTCTGGGATGCTGAATCTCGGTACGATAATTTCCTCTGAAGGAGGAATCTGGCTGGAGGCTGGGATCGGAATTGAGATGGAAGATCAGCTTTTGTCCCGATGCCGTTTCGGGAAACGTAGGAACAGGTGAGGCTCTGTTTCCGGGGACGTGTTTAAAGGCCCCTTCCTTTTCCAGTGGAGACCTTTTCGCTCCATCAGTGGATGGTGGAGCGAGGGGGAGTGCGTGAAGCAGAGTCTCTGAGTACAGGCAGTGCGTTTAACCCGAAGGCTGTTTTTCTCGAACGAAAAAAGATTGACTGCGAGTGTAGGGCTCCCTTCGATAGCAGTGGTCTATTCTTAGGGTTACTCGCAACCTGTGGTGGGTATTGATTTATTTCACGTAGTTAAGGTTTAGTGGTTAGGGTTAGGGTTTAGGGTTTAGGGGTTAGGGTTTAGGGGCTAGGGTTTATCAGATTACCCTGCTTCAACAGGGTTGCATCGAGGGTTTGATTGGAGGGGTAGGGTTTAGGGGCACCTCGGGAATCATCGCAAGGGTTTACGATTAGATTTAGGGTTCAGGGTCTATGCTTCGGGTGTGGGGCTTCCGGTAGTCTCTGCGAGAATCTTGGCATCAACCCTTAAGAACCCTGATCCAATTTCCGAACCATATTCTACATCTTGGAGTCCGATCCTCCTTAAACAAGTGCAGGAAAGGAACATCCCTGCACCTCTGCAGGACTCCGTAAATAAGGAACCAAGCAAAATCCCATAAACAAAAAATCACAGGAGAAGCTGCTGAACCCACTCTACGGCCTACTATAACGACCTTGAGCGTTCTCTACCCCAGTTTTGGGGTACCTTTGACAGTGACCGGTATTTTTACACCTGGGTCGTCCGGGTGCAACCATAACTTAGAATGTGTTAAACTGCTGATCCAATGGTCGTAACCCGAAACCCTAAGACCTAAACCATGTAAACCCTAAACTCTATAAATCCTGAACCTAAACCCCAAACTCTATAACCCCTAAACCGTAAACCCTATAAATCCTAAACCCCACACCCTGAATTCGAAAAAAAAACCTAAACCCTAAACCCTAAACCGAAAGTTCATACTACCCCGGCCTGGGACTCGCAGGGGCCACATGCGCCGGCCTCCCAGCCGAAATGTCCGAGAGGTTTAGGGTTTAGGATTTAGGGTTTGGGGTTTAGGGTTTAGTTCTTGGGGTTTCGGGTTTAAGGTTTAGAGTTGAGGGTTTGGGGTTTAGGATTTAGGGAGGACCGCAAGATGTGGTAGGTAGCTGCGATCTAGAGGGGTTCTCCTTGTTTAGGGCCCCCCCAAAAAGCACACAAGCATAAGGATTTTACGGTGATATCCCTACCTTATTGAGCTTCATTATAAGGGTGCTTATATGGGATAATGTCGGAACCTGGTTAAGAAACCTTGGGCCTTTATTAGGGCTCCTTATATGAATCCTACTGTTTTGGGGTTATAGTTATGGGCCCAGGGTTTCCTAATCAGGTTCCTACACAAGGGGTTCTTTCTTAGGGTTCCCTTACTAGGGTCCGTAACGGGGCTTTCTAGGTATTCTGCCAAAAACCTAGCACTTCATGAAAGATATGAAGAGCGTGACTGCTGGAAGTGCCCTCGACCTCCCCCAAATCCCTTTCCCGAATCTTTTAAGAGGGATAGGGAAGTTTCGGAAAAGAAGCCTGCAGCCCTCACCGCCACTAGTTCAAACTCCAAGGTCTCGGAATGCACAAAGTCAAAGGCCCCAAGATGAACAAACCGTGCCCAAAGCCTAAACCTCAAGGGTATATGTAGGATCAGGGTGCCTAGGATGCAATCGTGGTAGAACCGGAAGAAATTCGCATCCAGGTCCTGCTTTGGGATCTGCGGAGGGTTTACTCGTTGCGGTTTCGGGCTCAAGGCTCAGGCAGTATACTAGGTGTCGATTGCAACAGCCCCCCAAAAAATGATTCATAATAAAAGCTCTATATCAGACAATAACGGGAAATTAAACAGTATCCAGAATCGATACCTAGTATGGGTGTTGTGTTTAACTGCTTACCCAGACCCCCGGAGGATCCAAAAAGGTAGATCCCTTAATGGGAGGTTCCTATAAAGTACCCTTAGTAGTGTAGGGCCCCAAATTAGGGGATCTACTTTCTAGATCCTAACCCTAAACACTAAACCCCTAAACCCTAAAGCCTTTAAGGGACCTACTTTCCAGATCCTCCCGGGGGTCTGGGTACCCTTTCTCTCAGAAGATCGTCGATGGAGGAGCTTCGGACCGCCTGCAGCGTCGAAGTTTACCTGGACCCTAAAACACCTACATTTTTGGGGTTCCCTAATATGATTTCTTTATATAAGTCCTTGAAAAGGTAGGCTACTTGGGTTAAGGTTTAGGGCTAGGCCCTAAACCTTTTTCCCTAAACCCTAAACTTTAGAGTTTAATTAGGGTCCTTTAAGCACATTGGAACCAGAACCCTTTATGAGCGTACAGTCCCCAAGCACTAAATCTGGAAAATCTCATCCCAACGCGACTGAAACCCTTGCAACTCCGGACCCCGTAAAACAGGCCCCTTAAACCTAAAACCGAAACCCCAAGACCCTACGGACCCAGACCTTCGATGTCCTTCAAAGCTAGACACCGACCGCGGCACTGCGATGCCCGCTGTGCTGCACGGAGTGCTGCCTGAGGATTCCAGGGACATCTGAACAAGAGTTGCGGATTCTTGCGTCTTTGCTGGTGAAAAGATTTGTGTTTAGGGTTTGGGGGGGTGTTAGGGTGCCGGGGTTTGTCAACAGGGTTGTCACACAAGTGTCAAACATACATAAACCAAATGTAGAGGCGTCTGGCATTCCCGGGCTTCCTTTCGAACCTCAGGTCGAGGATTTTGGGGTATAGGCGTTCAGGGTCTGGGGTTTTAGGGTTGATAAGGGTTTTAGGTTTAGGCTGGAGGCACGGTCTAGTGAGGCTGCAGACACACGAACTTGTGGCTCGCTGTTTAAGGTCTGAGATTTTTGGATTTCAGGGTGAAGTTAACACGAAGAAAGAACAAATGCCCAAAGAACACAAACTACCCACCCTCTTCCGGGTTTGGGTTCGGTCTTTCCTTTCAATTCTCGCCTCCACCACGGTTTCAACCGACACCATGGACATCTGCCTCGGAGATTGCAGAAGGGCTTGTGCCGTGAATTGAGCTGCAATGCTACGGGTCCGCATCCGCAGAGAGAACCTGTCGCAGTATGCTCAAGACCTACAAGTGAGGTGCTTGTGCTTCGAATTCGGGTCTATAGCGCGACAGGTTCATCATGAAGTGCTAGACTCGGCTGGGTTCGGCGATAGCTGCTTGGGCGCAGAGTGGCTGAACATGTCGTGTCTGTCGCCCCGGTGGCGCAAAGGACAGAGCTATTCATTTCGAGCACACTGACCTGTAGCTTAAGGGGTATGCCGGCCACCCAACCGCGCAGAAGGCCGAATTACTGCTCAGCAAGGCTTACTACCCACACCTCAGCCCCAACTGAACCCGAAACCCTGCAATCCTCAAGAACCCTGCACTCAGGCAGCACCCCAAACCTTTACAGTAGAAGCCAGAAAGTTGGAATATCATTATGGTAAATTGTAGGGGATCCTACCATTAATCCATATTCCAACTTTCTGGAGTTCCCTTTTTCATTAAACCCTAAACCCTAAACCCTAAGCCCTAAACCCTAAACCCTAAACCCTAAACCCTAAACCCAAACCTGTTACTCCCCCAAACTGCTCGCTGCGACACACGCTGGGGCAGCCAATCTGCAGAGGAGGGAAGAGTCGAAGGAAGCCTTTTGAGCGCATTCAGGGAAGTACCGGATCCCAATTTTGGGTTTAGGGTTTAGGCTTTAGGGTTCCTACGTAAAGGGAACTAAAGAAAGTTGGAATATGGATTAATGGTAGGATCCCCTATAATTTACCTTAAAGGGTTTAAGATTCCAACTTTCTGGCTTCTACAGTAAGGGAAGTACCGGATCCCAACTTTTTTAGGCGTAGGTGTTAGGGTTAATTTCTTTTTTGGGGTTTAGGGTTTAGGTTTTGGGGTTTAGGGTTTAGGTTCTGGGGTTTTGGGTTTAGGTTTTGGGATTTAGGGTTTAGGTTTTGGGGCTAGGGCTTATAGGGTGTCCTTAGCGCTTCAGAGTTTTGGTGCTTTGGGGTTCCAGGGCCTAGGCTTAAGCGGTCTTTTGAAAGTAGGAATCTCCCTACGTTTTATACTTGGCTTGGGTTTAGTCCCTAACCCTAAACCCTAAGCCCTAAGCCCTAAACCCTTCTCCCTAAACCTTGGGTTTCGGCCTTTGGGATCGGGCTCAGTTAGAAAAAGGTAATGCGAGCGCGTGAGCCAAAGATCCCAGGGCCCTAAATCCTGAACCCCCGACCCTACAGGGAACTCTAGAAAGTTGGAATATGGTTTCATGGTAGGATACCCTATAATTTACCATAGAAGGGTTAGGATAATCATATTCCAACTTTCTGGCGTTTACCTTAAACCCACGACCCTAAACCCATAATATTAGGGGCCTTTTTTAGAACAGGGTTCCTTTGAAAGGGGTCCTGTAAGGGCTTACTTTAAGGGGTTTTATGGGGGATGTAATAGAGGGGCCTTTTGTAGAGTAGGGTTCCTTTAAAAGTGGTGGGGGATGTCACAGAGGGGCCGCTCTTTAGACTAGGGCTTTGAGATCCATTATAACTGTGCTATAATTACAAGAAGGAACCCCCCACATGTTTTGGTAATTATTTAGGCCCTATATTAGCAACCTCAATGGCTTCATCTTCCCCCCGCCTGCAAGGGCATCCCCGGCGCAGCGCGCTGATCCCTCCAGCGGAGCGTAGATGTGCCCAGGCCTACGCCACTGTAACAAGTGAGCTTTTAGAGCCCACGGTGTCGGCTCCATGGTGCAGGGGTTTAACAGAGGGGCCTTCAAAATTAGAAGAGGGTTTTTAGGGCCCATTGTACTAGAATCATAACAAGGAGCTCCGAAGATAGCGCAGGTAACTATTAAGGCCCCCAAAAGTAGGTTTAGGATACGGTCTTCGGGCTTTTAAGCCTTCGGTTTTGGACTTGAAGCTGGGCTGAGGGCTTAGGACGTATGCTTTGGGCCTTGCGATTTAGAGCTTAGCCGGCGGTTCAAGGCAGCTTCGGTAGTTCAGGGTCGTAGGGTTAAATCGATGAAACTGAAACTCATGTTTTACAGAACTTGCCGCTCAAGGTTCAGGATTAGCTTGTTGAGATGTGGGAAATCTGTTAATCTTGGTTTAGGGGTTCGGGGCTTTAGAAGCTTTGCTCACGAGAAAACACTACACCTTGCATCACAAAACGGAACACTCCAACTCACCTTCCGCAGATGACGAGTTCGATCCAAAATCCTTAACCCTCAACCCTGAAGCCCTAAGCCGAAACCAGAAACTCTTAATCCTCAACCCTTGACCTTACAGCACCTCTGAGTTCAACCCTCCGGCCTCAGGACAACGGTGTTCATCGACGAGAGGCCTGTCGCGAGGGTTCTAAGGTTAATGTAAACCGTACACCACGATCAGGTAACACACTTCTGCTCTCTACAACGGTAATGCAAACCGAACTCCGGTTTGGAGAAGGAGGATTTATGCGACTACTCCGTGGGGCAAGCATGCTGTAGTTTAGCTTTGCGTTCGGAGGGCCCAACGGCCTTATTCGGATTATTGCCTACAAGACAATTCTGCAAATTCCTAAGGGGTAAACTCGCAAAGCCTATAAATTCCTACGGAGCAAAGCCTACGTAGCTTAAACCACAGAGCCCGAAAACCGGCAGCAGGAAACACCCGCGTGGCCGAGGCCTGAAGTGTTGCGGGTCGAGGGGTCCGAAACCCTGAACCCCAAACCTTAATGTAGGGACCTGATTAAGAAGCAATGAACCCTACTATTTTGGGGTTATAGGCCCAGGGTTTCTTAATCAAGTTCCTACATTATATCGCCAGCCGTGAAAACCGCACAGCACCAACACTACCCTGACACACGATGTGAATGCCGGAAGACCTTAGCATAGCCTCCGTACAACTTCTGTAAACAACATCAAGAATCAAGGGACTTCGTAAACGGACTTTAAAACATGCCGAGCACCATCCCTCCAATGAAAAGCCACAAAACCCATGAAGATCCTTCTGCCTCTAGACTCCTTGTTTAGAACCCCCCCCCCCAGTACACCGTTTTCAGGTTACTATAGGGGCCTAAATGGTTACGAATACTATTTTGGGGGTTCCTCATTATAAGTATAGCAGCCCTGAAGGAGGAGATACATCGCAAAACAGATCCTCTGCAATAATGGGCCCCAACACAAGAAAATAATTGCCTATTTTGGGGGTTCCTTGTTTTAAGTATAGCACGGTTCCTTTTTATAAGTACAGTATAATGGGCACCAAAACCCCCCGACCCCGATCGCCGCCTTGGGCGAAGTCCGCGAGGAAGCGCTCTCCGCGGGCTTTGCTGCGTACGTAGGCGATGGGCGACGTGAGCTGCAGGTCCTGCGATTCAGGGCTCCCAGAGACTCCAATATCCCTTAGTTAAGGAATATTCCGTACATCATATTGCGGATCCTACTATAATTTAAGGCATATTCCGTAATTAAGGGATATTGGAGTCTCTAGGTTTAGGGCTGTTGAGGTTTTTGGGGCTTTGAGTCTCCAGTTTCGGGTTTGTTTGCGAGTTTAGGGTCCAGGGTTTTCCTTGTCTCTACGTCTTTCCGGAGTTGTGTATAGAACCCACAATAACTAGGCAAGGAACCCTGAGAAAGTAGGCTTTTTCGGCTAGAGGTAGGGTGGTTCAGCATTTACGGTTTTCGGATACGAAGTTGAGGATGCAGAGCTTCGAGCTCAGAGTTTGGGTGTGGGAAATTCTTTGGCGTTTTAGGGTTGAGCGGTCTGGGGTTTAGGGTTTAGGGGTTTAGGGGGGTAGGGTTTAAGGTTTAGTGGGGTTTAGGTAGGGTTTGGGGTCTATGGAGGCTTAGTAGTATGGATTAGGGTTCCCATAATAGGGTTCATATTCAGGAATCCCTACCCCCAAGAATCTTAAACCCCCCTTTTGGCCTCCCATCATATCAAACTCTTAGCTGGCCAACCCGAAACCCTAACCCTCCAAAACCATATAAAACTCGAAAGCCAAACCCTGAACCCTTTCGATCCCTTAAAGGAGCCCATCACAGTCTTTGCTCTGGTCCTCGGGAGGATGAGGAGTCTGAGTTCGGTGCCCGCGGCCGGTGTAGCTCACATCCAGCGTGCTGACATGGATGAAGGTCACCTGGGTACTGTTGATGATATAAATCCTGCATTACCTTAAGGACCCTAAAGTGTGGGAATTATGGTATATTCCTTATTATGGGTAATGCAGGATTTATATCATCAACCGTAGTGCTCTAAATTAGGGTCCCTTTTGAGGTCCCAGAGATAGTAGGGCACCCATATAAAAAAAAGGACCCTAAAGGGGACCCGAATTTATAGAACAACCCACCTCAGCACACCGCTTTTCAGGGTCTAGGCTTGGGGCTTCGACCCCAAACTAACTCTGCCTATTCAACTCTACGCCCTAAGTCTAAAACCTCCTGAAACCCAAAACAATCCCCCCAAATTCGGAAACCCTACATGCTACCTCTGCATATGCCATTAACGCCTCTTAATGCCACAGCACCGTGCAAAACCCTTCAGAAGCCCAATACGGACCCAACCAAACGCCTAGGAAAACCCCTGTAAACTATAAACCCTACACCCTGTAAACCCCCAAAAATGGGCCCCTCCAGCACTACTGGGGCCCCGGACCGCACCGGCGCCCGCGGCCGCTCTCGCCAGGTTCGTGGGCGCCTGGGCGTTGACCTCCTCCAAACGCCCGGCAGGCGCCTCGGGGGTTCCTCTTGGGGTTCTCGTTGTTGCCTTGTGTCTTCTATAAGGCGTTGGGAGCCCCCTTTTTGAAGGATCTTGGGATGCTGGTTAGGGTTTGCAGGGTTCCTTAGGGAGCTGAAGTTTCAAGCCCCTACCCCCCACACTCTTAACCCTGAACTAGAAACATCGGTGTCGCGGCCTCAGGCCTCACGTCGATGGCTGCAGCCAAGTTGAAGACGGCTCTGGGCGGGAAGCGCTCCAGGATCCCACGTACCTGGGTGGAGCGCAGAGTCACAGGCACAGGGGAAGGCCGGAAACATACGAAGGCCACCGAATGCTACTTGGAGGTCCATGGGTAGTTATATGTAAGTAGGGTCATAAGTCCCCTAATATGGGTTTTTAGTGATAAGTATAGTTACCTTAGGTATAACCCTACTTATAACTACCCATGAACCTCCAAGTACCGAGGTCTGGAAGCCGCACCAGCACCTGATAATCTGACAGAAGCAGAAGCAAGTGCTGCGACTTCGGATTTGAACCGGTATCTGCAAACCCGATCTCTAGATCTCATCAGCTGCAAAGTGACAGCGGAAGCATCCGTCACGTCCAACTGGGCTTCCACCAGAACACCTGGGACTCTGAGTGGAAGGGCCTAGCTTGCAGGGGCTTGGGCGCCGCAAACAGGCTTGTGCAGGGGCTGTTCAAGCTCTTCGGACCCTTTGAGCTTGCTTCTTAAGGCTTGTAGGTCCTTGAAGGCTTCAGTGGCTTCCAGGATTCTAGGGCTTGTTGAGCTTTCTCGGCATTGAAAGCAGTTAAAGGGGGCTCCAGAAAGTTGGAATATGAAACAATGGCAGGATCCCCTATAATTTACCTTAAAGGGATTATGATAATGATATTCCAACTTTCCGGCTTCTACTGTAACGCCTTTCCGGAGTTTTGGGGGTTGAGACTTGGGGCGGCCTCACGAGCAGGGTTTAAAGAAACATAAAGGCCCTTCATAATAAAAGAAAAGAGTTAGGGTTAGGTATAGACCCTTAAAATAGCTATTATATACCCATTATATAGCTCATTATAGGGTAGGGGTCCCCATTAAGGGGTTTGCATTGCAGTATACTTGCACACAGACTGAAAGGGCATTAAGTACACGAATTATGCAGACGCACTGCTGACCCCAGAGCCCAAAACGATAGTCCTGCACATCAAAAGCAGAATGAGCTGACACTAAATCCCCAAACCCTAAATAGGCCCTAAACCCCAAACCCCAAAACCTAAACCCCAACCTCCGAAAAGCTCCAAAGCTCATCCCGGCCTTCCTCGACGAACGCCCGAGCCCGACTCCGAAGCCAAGCGCTGCAGGGAGCCTAAGGGTTCAGGGGTTTAGGGTTTGAGGGGTTTAGGCTTTAGGGTTGGTTTAGGGTTTTGGGTTTAGGGATTTAGGGTTTAGGGCTTTAGGGTTTAGGGTTGGTTTAGGGTTTAGGGCTTTAGGTTTGGTTTAGGGCTTAGGGTCTAAAACCTCTGCATCCGGCCCAGGGTTGCCTATGTTGGCCCTATCGCCGGCTTCGTACGGAGTTTAGGGTTTAGGGTTTAGGGTTTAGGGTTTAGGGGTTGGGGATTGGGGTTTGGGTTTTGGACCTTGTTTTGAGGGGTGTGCATCATGGCTTTCTCTATGGTTTAGGGTGCTTCACAAGGGTTTTTTGACTGTTGAAAGGGTCATTGCCCCTTGTAACAAGGGGCATATAAAGGTTTTGGGGGGGTTAATGTTTGATGCTTATTGTTTAAGCCTCGACTCGTGCGATGATCAACCCAGAGGAAGTACAAACCCTACATAGCTTACGGAATATTTCTGGGGCTATAGAGGATGTCCTATACTGGCTTCTGCAAAATTCCCGAACTAACGATTCGGCTGTACCCTCTAATCTAAGACCTGGGCCCCCTGCCCTCTAGATTAGGGGTCATATTAAGGGCTATATATATATATATATATATATTTATATATACATTTATATATATATATATATATACATATATATATATATACATATATATCATTATGTTATGACTATTGTCTAACTTTAACTCTTGTAGAGTGGGTCATATTAAGGGCTATACATGACTCATGATTATCATGAATGAATATTATCGTGGAGGAGTACCCCAAGCTAAGGGGGTTTAGCGGATTGGCTTTGTGCACTTCACGGCTTTGTAAGACTTGTAGCGTCAGCGGTCAGACCTCTGGCCGTCAAGACTCAGAAAGTCCTGAGCCCTCGAACCCTAAACCCTAAACCCCTAAACCCTAAACCCTTAGACAAGACTGAGGACTGCAAGCAAGGTCTAAGTACTTCCATGGGGGTTTATCCGCCTTGGCTAGTCTTCTTTCTCTTCGCCTAGCTGCTCGACCCCATGATCCTCACAAAACCTGAGCTTCACAACAAACTAGAACAGATTTGGTACAGTTGAATACGCAATACAACCCCTGCAAGCCGTCCTTACCATGTCCGTTGATCTTACAAACCCATGAAGCATGAAAAATCTCCAGATTCAATCGTAAACCCTTCGTCTAAATCAGGAGCCTATAACAAGAAACCCCCAACATGGTATAGGTAACTATTAGCCTTCTGCGTTCCCCTCCCTAAACCCTCAACAATATACTTAAAACCCCAAACCCTAAACCTCTGAACCCTAAACCCCCTAAACCCCGAAACCCTGAATCCTAAACCCCAAACCCCAAACCCCAAACCCTAAACCCTAAACCCCTAAACCCTAAACCCTAAACCCCAAACCCCAAACCCTAAACCCTAAACCCCTAAACCCTAAACCCTAAACCCCAAACCCCAAACCCTAAACCCTAAACCCCTAAACCCAAACCCTAAACCCCAAACCCCTAAACCCCTAAACCCCAAACCTCTTTAGCCGAAGGCTCCGTCGGGAGATCGGCAGCCACCACGCAGCGCAGACCCAACTCCTCGAGACGACAGCACGCTTCGCCTTCTGGGGGGTCGGGTTTAGGGTTTAGGGTTTAGGGTTTCGGGTTTAGGGTTTAGGGTTTCGGGTTCAGAGGTTTTTTTTGTTTTAAGCACCTTTTTCCGCCTGCATGAAGCCAGCAGGTTTTGGGTCCAGGGCTCAGAGTTTAAGGGGGTTTGGGCTCAGGGCTTTAAGGGTTTTGGGGTTTCGGGTTCAGGGGTTCAGGGTAAAGAGGTTTAGGGTTTTTGGAGTTCAGGGTTGAGGAGCTTGGTGCTCAGGGGTTTCGGACGCTATGAAGGTTGTCGAATACTGAAACTCTATCGGGGGCTTTGTGAGGAGTGTGGCGTTTGGAATATATTGGGCGAGCCCTAAACCCTAAACCAGCATCTATAGAGAGGAAGATGCATGTTGATTGGCTCTATCAGGTGTTACAGTTACAAAGTCTTGTAAGGATCTTGGAGCTTAGTGAGCAGGGAGTTTATGTATGTGTGCATGTATGCATGATTGTCTGTACGTCTCTCTGTCCGTATGTCTGTATCTCTATCTGTCTGTATGTCTGCATGTATGTATGTGTGTGTGTGTTTCTGTCTATCTATCTACACATATGCAGTCACATGTACCTTTACATAGCTATGGGGGGCGACATGTGGGTTATCCAGCTGCTGGCGCCTCACGGCGCTGCAGCAATTCCAGGACCAGCGCTGAGCCCACCCAGCCGCCTTTGCTTGCTGAGGGTGGGTTTAGGGGGGTGTTTTGGGCGGTGTAAGGTCAAGGATGATGTTTGGATTTTGTGGTTTTGTTACAGGGTCTCCTGCAAGGTGCCGCCACACTGCAGAAGATCTCATCCAAACGAGCCGCAGTCGCACCAAATCGGATGCCATACAGTACAAAATCTTTGTGAACCTTAAGTCCAGTACTCCCTATTACAGGACTTTAGGGGCTTTTTAGGTATCAAGAACCATAAATAGGGACAACCAACTTGGACCCTTAAGGCCAAGCCTCAAACCCCGAAGACTCAAACCGGGACTCTAAACCCACAGACCTCTGCGACCCCGAAAAGCCCCAATGCTCATCAAAATTAGGACCTCCTTTCAAACGATCTATACGGGTTCCTTTAAGGGTTCCTATAAGGGATCTATGATGGGGTTTAGGGTTTAGGAGTTTCCGAAAATTGGGGGTTCCTTATTTGGGCGTCTTCATCATAAGGATCCTACTATTTAGGGTACTAGACTAGGGTCCCCTATTTTCGGAAACTCCCAAATGCTTAAACCCTTTCACTGCAAGTCGCTATAAACCGTGAACATGCCCATTTCCTAAGTTGCAACCCTGAAGCTTCAAGGCAAAAAACTCATCCCCAAAACGACCGCAGCACCCTCATGAAACCTTCGTAGAACCTCTGAACCCAGCCCTAAACCCTGAATCCTGCTCGTGCTGCCTCCTCCCAGCACCAGCGCGGTTCGCAGATCCGCCATGGCTCGCCGGAAAGCTGGAAACTCCGGTGTTCATGTAGAAGCCTTTAGAAACCAGAGTTTCCTGTAAGGGTACGACGGGATTCTATGACAAGGCTCCCTTTAAGGGAATTATCGGGTTGTTTAGTAGGGCTCACTTCACGGGTATCTTGATGGGGTTCCATAATCGGGCTCCCTGTATAAGGGTACTATGGGGTTCTATAGGGTTTCGGAGGTCATGTAGCATGGAACAGGGGATCAGGGTTGAGGGCTTTCTGGGTTCATGGCCCCGTGCTTCACCGCGGCAACAGTCCGAAATCTACGCAACAAAATTGCAAACAGAAATTTCGAAAACCTTCCATGACCAAGAAATGGCACATGGGGCTTAACTCGACCTTCTTGCTGGGAGGAGTCTTCGGATTAAGGATGCCCTCAGAAGCCCGCGTATGAAGCTGCTGCTCCTTGTGATGCTTCAAGGTGCGATGGCCCAAGACGGCTTGAAGGAAGAAGCTTCAAAAAGCATCGACGAGTGAACAATACCACCACCCTGGGTTGCAGCACCTGTATTCTGAAGCACCTAGCTTCTGGCACATTCTGGTTACGAACCGATATTCAGAAAATAAAGTGACAAGGAAAAGCTACTGCGATTCTGTGTCTGTCTAGCTGTATCCGAAACTGAACAACTCTAATTACCCTCCATTATGCTTCAGCCCTTCGGCGTGCCGTGTCATCCCAGTCGAAGATGATGACGGTCTGATTGGGGTGCGCATACCTGTGCACAGAAGGTTCTGGGGCTTAAGGAATTCAGCGTTGAGGGTGCAGCGTTAGTTGAGGTAGGGGCTTCAGGTTTGGACTTCGGCTTGTGCCGTGGGATTGGGGTTTCCGGCCGTTTCTTCTTGGGAATAGAACTTTTGAAGAGCTCCAGCACCGTCAACGATCCCATACATAGAAGCCCCCTCCCTAACCTGAAACCCTACACCCTACGGCCTACTAAACCCTACAACCTAAACCACAAACCCTAAACTAGCCCATACCACCCCGGAACCCAAACCCCACCCCCAACCTTAAACCCCAAACCCTAAACCCCCCCACCCCCCCAGGGGCACTCGATGGAGCTGTCCGTTGACTTGCAGGACAGCGGCGTCAAATCCAGAGAGATCCGGCGCTCGTTGTATTCGGGCGAGAGCATCTCATCCTCCCCGCGCATTCCCAGAGACTCCAATACTGCTGATGGACAAAATCCTAAGGTTCCTTTAAAGGGAGCTATAAGGGTACCTTATAGGGGTTCCTTTAAGGGATCTATAGGGTTTTGGGGTTTAGGGATATAAGTCCTGCATTACCCATTGTAAGGAATATACCATAGTTCCCATAGTTTAGAGTCCTTAGGGTCATGCAGGATTTTGTCCATCAACAGTATCCCTAAATTAAGGAATACTTGGACCCTAAGGAACCTGCCTTTTTAGGGTTCCCTGAAATGATGTCTGTATATAAGTCCTTAAAAAATGTAGGTTACTTGGGGGTTAAGGTATGCATTCCTTAAACCATACTTTCCACGGCTTAAGGTATATTCCTTAATGTTCAGGTATATTGGAGTCTCTAGGTAATTGAAGCTGCGCATTAGATCCGGACCATAAACCCCTATGTCCCCCCCAGGTGCTACTGTAGCAGACATGCTTCGAACCTGAAGCTTGGGATGAGCTCCGCAGTCAAAAAGGTATCATACAGACGCAAAAACTCCCAAAACCCGGGAATCAATTGATCCCGAAACCCACACACCTGTACAGCCTCATGTCCATTAAGGCCTAAAGGCCAAACACCAGGTCAACTCAGAACTCTGAATCGTCAAGTCCCAATTCTCCTCATCGCCGGTCTCAATCTCCAGATACCTCAGCCGAGGGATGCGAGGCCAGAGTGCCAAAACAGGTGCAGGTAGGAGAATCTAGTTGAAATAATGCTGTTTAGGGCTGGGTTTTGTATATTGTTGACTATATTGGTCTATCCAACCCGGTCCGGTAGCAAGGCTTGGTATGAAGATTCAGCATAATTTGGTATAGGGACTCTTACTGCGGATTGCCCACGTACCACCACCCTACACCCTACCTGAACCCGATGTCCTTATACAAATCCTTAAAAAGGTAGGTCATTCCGGGTTAAGGAAAACCCTAACTCCCGAAGACCAAAACTCTGAACTTCCGACGCCCTAAACCCTGAGCTTTAAAGCCATGAATCTGATACCTCTAACCTACACCACACCCTAAACCTCGAAAATTTGGGCCCTAAAGCCGGGTGCCCATAGTTTCGGGCTTCTAGCTTCGGATCGGCTGCCTGTGAAACTCGCAACTTCCCCCTAAACCCTGTCTCATCTCACTTTCGGGGCCACTAATACCATCATTATGGTATCATTATGGTATCATTATGGCATTATCATATATTGTTATAGTAGTATTATGGTCTTATTCTAGTATCATTATAAATTATAGTATCACTAACTAAAGTATTACAGTTAGTATTACATGAATAAAGCCCAGACCTCTGCATTTGGCTCCCGGCGGGCGCGGCACCCTCGTTTTCTGCTCCTCCGGAGTCTTCGCCTCTGCGTTGGCGTTTCCTGAAGGAAGAGTCCAAGAACGGTGTAGGGCTTCAGGGTTTGGGGGGTTCGGGGAGGTTTTACGTTTGGGGCTTCGGGGTTAGGAGTTTAGGGCTCAGAGCCGCGGAGCACAAAGAGCCCAAACCAGAAACCTGGAGCCCGAAGCAACGCCAGCGATTAGGGAGGTTGGGTTTTGGGAAGTAGAGTCTACACCTTGATTGCCCAAACCTACACCTTAAACCCCGAAGTTTAGCCCTTTGATACTCAACCATAGAGACTGAACATGTGCGAGTACAAACAGAGCTCGTTCTGCAGCTCCGCCAAAGTGACTTAGCTGGTCCTACCGGGTCCTACCGGCCTCGAACCGCCGCCAGACAACATTTGATTTCCGTGTTTGTTAGTTCCATGGACTCCTGGCTTGCAATGAGATCGAGGGGACAAAATTTGGCGGCGCGTCAGAGCACGTGGACAGTGAGCGTCTCCTTTCCTTCGCCGCCAATGCGAACGCTCACGCCAGCCACGGGCACCCGCCTCTTGGATGGCGTCTCCAGGACCAGTGCATTCGCGGGTCGCTTCTTCTCGAGGGCGGTGGTGCTATCCGCTCCCAGCATGCATCTCGCAAACCACCCGCAATCGTCGAAGATAACCGGGATGGAAGCTCACGTGCACCATTGCATCACACACAGCATCTAAGCCAAAGACGACACGGGTTGTTCGCAAACCCACCACACTCTTCGAACCAGTCCTGTCAGCGCTAGCAGTACAAACCTCGCAGCTAACGGATTCCCGGCGCAAACAACGGCAGCACAAGGGTTAGCACGAAAGAACCCAATAGCCACTAAACAAAACGCAGCGGTTACGGTCGCATCACGGACACAGGTTCTGGTGAAGGAACTTGTTGAAGAAGCGTAGTGATCAAAACCTCCTCTGTATCACGTTGCCAGCTTGTTCTAGATTGAACTGAGTTCCTTACACAGGGCGCCGATAAACCTTTAGAAGCCGGGTCAGGCCTACATGTCCAAATCCGATAACCCCCAAACCCCTGACGGCTGGGGTTTGGGCTTTAAGGCTCAGGGTCTAAAGTTTAAAGTTCTCGTGCTGTGGAAAACCCTAAGCTACAAACTCTAAAGCCTTAAACCCTTAAACAGACTCTATTGTGGAGTTTACCTTCCTCCGAAACCCGAGTGTCTGTTAGTTTGGCTTCTACTCTACACCCCCAAAGCCTAAACCCCACAACCCCACTCAGAACGTACTTTAAGAATGGTGACTCACACACCTCGACCAGAACCCACCAGCCACCTCGGAACCTCACACCCCCACACCCCAAACCCAAGCCCTCACGCCAGATCTCAAAATAAACACAGATCCCCAAACACCCTCGCCGTCCGAACAATCTTAGGCCATACTAGCCACGAACCCCACGACCGGCCTTCACATTCTTGGCCACCCTTGTTGGCCACATCCACCTGGCCGGCGGTTGTCTCGGTTTGGGTTCCTTTCAAGCTCCCTCCAAGGGCTCCTTTCTATATAAGTATATGGTATATGGGAGTTTCTGAAAATAGGGGACCCTTAATATCGTACCCTAAATAGTCGGATCCTTATTATAAGGACCCCAAAATAAGGTACCCCTAATCTTTCGGAAACTCCCATATATCTCTGTAGGGCTTTTGGGGGTGTCGGGCTTAGGGTTTGCTTTACGGCGTTGAGGGCTTGGGGCCGTCCTTGCTTTGGGATTTTGGAATGCTCTGGCCTGAGAAGCTTGAGAAATCTCAGCTCACGGCTGCCATCAACCCTAAGCCCTAAACCTGAAAACCTAACGCCTAAACCCTAAACCATCCTAAGGTCCCCCTCTACGAGCAGCATCCGCGGAGTTGAGCTTCTGCCTGGGATAGCGCTGTAGGCATTTAGCCGTAGACGGTTCAAAGAAGCCAGTCAACAAATCCCTGACAATGTTGAAAACAAAAGCCTTCAACTGCTCGACTGAAAATCGAATTTCGGGCCTCGTCGTTGGCACTTCCTGGTGCGTCTACCTGCTCGCGCAGTCGCGAGTTGGGTTGTTCGGGGCTGTGGATCTGGGGTTGATTGATAGAATGGTTCTTTTAAAGGATTTGGAGATTTCCCCAAGCTTAAACAATCCGAACCCCTGGTGCTAGGGTTCAGGATTTCGGGCCTTGGGTCGTTCGTGGCTCGGCCCGGGAAGCTCTTAGTCTTAGGGTTTGGGGGATTTGGGTCGGGGGTTGAAGGGTTCATGGTTGAGTTGCTGGGTGCCCTTCTCTTACCTTTGGTTAATAGGGAATGGAAGAATAGTAGGAATAGTAGTTATAATTGTATATATCCCATTCCTCCATTCCCTACTAACCAAAGGTCAGTTTTCACTTCGCAATTAAATCCAGGCCCCCAGACGGTGAACCCGGAGCCTGAAAGCCTTGACCCCAAG